GTTGAATATTATGCTTTATCAACAGAATTAAAACCTAAAAGCACAGACCATTCTGTTAAATGTCCATGATTTAAGGTTCTTGAAGTCTATTGTTTTTTTTTTTTTTTCCGATATTTTTATTAAAGTTTTTGCATCGACTTTTACAAAAGACAAATTGAACAATATGCCGTTTTCTTTTTAAAGAACATAAAATAATATAAGACATACACTCCCACCTCATAATTATAGCAGTACCAGTGGGTGTACAAACAGAAAAAAATCCAATCTAATAATACTAGTAACAAACCCTAGGGTACAAGACAACAGTTCCTGAGTGTACAAGGGAGATGTGGAGAGTATCCAAAACCCCCACCTCCACACAGACACATAAAGACCAAAACACACAAAAAAAAAAAAAAAAAAAAAAAAAAAAAAAAAAAAAAAAAAAAAAAAAAAAAAGAAACACCACACATGATAAATGGTCAGCTTAGTTATAGGGATGAATCAATTCTGTTAGAAAAAAGAAATATGTATAAAGTAGTTAAATAAATACCATCATAGAACGCAGGCACAATAGAATCCATATACTTAAACTTAGGCCTCTTACTTGAACATAAGATAAAAAAAAAAAAATAAAAAAAAATGATAGAGTCTGAGCTGGCTAATTGGGAGCATTGCGAGACCGCAAAGTCTGAACATGATCAAAAAAGGGTTGCCAGGTCTTAAAAAATTTGGCCGTAGACCCGCGCAGGGTGAATTCAATCTTTTCGAGTTTGCTAAAATGCAGAACGTCTCTGATCCAGATTTCCCAGGATGGGGCGGAAGGGGACTTCCAACATAACAAAATTCTGCGTCTTGCCAATAAGGTGAGAAATGCGACCAGATCCGCTTGAGGCGTCGGCAAGGCAACTGAATCAGGAAGAGCCCCAAACAAAGCAGTTAAGGGCACAGGTTGGAGGGTTAGCTGGATGATCTTAGATAAAATCAAGAAAATATTAATCCAGTATTGTTTGAGGGATGAACATGACCAAAACATATGCATTAAAGAGGCAGGTGTTTGATGACAGCGGTCGTAGTCAGGGCTAAGATTGGGGTATATTTGAGCTAGTCTGGCCTTAGTCCAATGTACACGGTGCAGAATCTTACATTGAATCAGCCCATGTTTAGCACAGAATGAGGAGCCATGGACCCGGTAAAGAATTTTATCCCAAGAGTCGTCCTGAATCACACACCCCAGATCCTGCTCCCATGCCAATTTAATAGCCGAGATTGAAGAGTTACTAAAGGAACATATTCTCCCATACAGACAGGAGATCAGGCCCTGTAATGAGGGCGGAGGCAATAGAAGGTTATCAAAGTCATGATAAGAAGGTCTAGATGGGAAATGAGAGGATTTCTCCTTAACAAAACTCCGGATTTGTAAATAGCGAAAAAAGTGACTTTTTGGAAGGCCAAATTTCAATGAGAGCTGTTCAAAGGAGGCAAATGTATTCTGAATGTACAGATCAGAAAAAGACCTGATACCCAAAGAGGCCCACAAATAAAAAGCGCCATCAGCTAACGAAGGCTGAAAAGAGGGATTTTTCAAGATGGGTGATTGAAGGGGAAAAAAGGTCAACTTAAAATAACGACGAAATTGATACCATATTTTCAAGGTAACTTTGACAATAGAGTTATTATAAGAGCCTGTACTCGAAGGCTGTTTTTGGGCATAGATCAGGGCTGGTAAAGAGGCTGAGAGGTTCTTGAAGTCTATTGTTTCATCACTTTGCAACATTTGGCAAACTGCAGAGTGGTGGCCTTAAATAGTAAAACTATGTACTATAATTTCCAGTATTTGTTCTGTATTTTGTCATATCTCGTTGTTAATGTGAGGTTTTTAGGGGGGTTGTGTTTGTGTTTGTTTTTTTGTTTTTTTCCCCCACAATTTCTCAGATGAAATTGCATTAAGTGATGCTGAAACAAAGGACAGTGAGAGTGAATCAGATGATGATGACACAGCACTCACAATGTCGGCGTGTGGCACCAGTGAGCCTGTACATGCAGTAGCTGATTCCACAAACACAGCGCAGCTCCAAGACACTGTAGATTGTGGTAAGTTACCACTAGCTTGGTTTCTGTGGATAAAATGTTTGTTACAAATATTAAAACTTAATCAAATTGTGTAATCAGCAGATGAAGTACCACTCACAATGCCTGCAGCAAGTGAGACTGCTGCTCCCTCTGAAGGTAAGGGGTGCAGTTGGTTCTCTAAGCTTATTATTGTTTCATCACTTTGCAACATATGGCAAACTGCAGAGTGGTTGCAAAAAGTCCCTTGGATGAGTGACAAAATGTTTCTCCCACTGAAAACGCTACGTCCAGATTAACAGAATCAACGTTTTGGGATTTACTTATCTGGATGATTGAGCATGCATCAAGAGACTTTTATTCAACTTTTTATTCAGTCTTTTATTCACAGTGGAACACTAAATGTTGTCTCATTTTAGAAATTTGATAAATTTTCAAAGAGAATTTTAGCTCGTTTTGATATTGATGGTAGCAACACATTTCAGAAGTTAGTACAGGGTAGCATCCATTCTTTTAGCAAGCAAATGTTTTTTGGTTTTTTTTGTTTGGTTTTTTGTTTGTTTTAACTACTACTTTATATATCTTCCAGAGAAAAATGCTGCTCAATCCCACAATTCCCGAAGAGCTCCCAAAAACATGTGGTCCAAGGCTGAGGTTGCTGCAGTGATGAGGCATTTTAAAGACCACATAAACGAAGGGAAACTAGCCACCAAAGATGAATGCAGTCATTGCAAATTGGTAGAAGATCCGGTGTTGGCAGGAAGAACAGTTCAAAACATACGAGATTTTGTAAGAAACAGAGGATTAACTGCAAAAAGGCAGAAAAAAAATGAACTAAAATAACTGTTTAGCCAGATGTGGTTTTACATCTTGGTCAGATTGCCAATTGTTAACACTGATGTTCTGTTTAAAGAAAAAAAAAGTTCTTGTTAAATACAGAAGTAGTTTGTATTTCATAATTTTTACATTTAATTTATTTAGGGTTTTTTTTGACGGGTTATATTTAAAATAAAAAATTATAAATGCATATTTTCTCCCCTTAATATTTACCTTTACACTATTAAAATTCATTTTAAATGTTTTTAATTTTTTCTGTTTTCTATATTTTTATATTGTAAACAATTAAATGTCAAGGGTCAACAGTTATCAAACACTTAGGTGAAGAAATGACACTCAGACAGTTCAACAGTTAACGTGCACGGGTGAGAGCTCAAAAGAGACTCACACCCCGCCCTTTGTCTTGCTTCTTTATTTATTCACTTAGTATAGTGATGTCACATGGCAAAGCAAAGATAAAACAGGAACTTAGCTGCACGCTCTTCACTCGTGGGGGGAGAACATGCAGTTCCTGAAACTTAATCTAACAATAACAGCTGGTGTTAACAACCTATTTTGGTTAATGCTTTGTACGCTTGCAAAGATGATTATATTTGCACACATCTCTTGTGATTTCCTGAACAGTGGTGACCCACTGTTCAGAGAGTTCATGATAGAAAGACATTTGCATAAGCAGAAATATAAACACTTATTAGTATATCACTCAGTTACATTTCATGACAATAAAAGTTAAAAATCCTCTGACACCCCCTCCTGTTGTTTACATTTGCCTTATGCACAATACTGTCATTTTGTCAGTTCATAACCTCTTGTTGGGACATTTTCAGATAGAACATCATTAAACAGTTTTGTATCATGTCCTTTTTCAGACGCTACTGAATGCATCCTCATACAGCTCGCCGTCGATCTGGGACAATATTACATAAGCTCCTAATGTAGCTGTGACCATGTTTGACACCATGCTTTTCAAACAAGGTATTACACATGCTGCGAAAATACACAATAATAGCAATAGAAAACTAATACCAAAAAGTCAGGGACTTCCACGAACCACTCAGTAGCCATGTCCACCAATCATCAGTGCTTGTGACATAGTCTTGTTGTTGGGCATCTCTGAGTTGCCTAAAGGTATTTAGGGCAGTGGTCATGTTAAGTGAGTGTACATTGTCTGGAATGTATGTGCAACATGTAGTGTTAAACAGTACCTATACCTCCTTTTTCGGCTAGGATCATGTCCAGTGCAACCCAGTGCTGCATTACCGTGATGCACACTGCATCAATCTCTTCATTCTGGGCCTTGTTAATCTTCATTGAAGCATTCAGGAACAATCCAAAACGATAGTCGAGTGTCTCTATCCTGAGCATGTTCTTCCTAGTTCCCACCCAAGGGAAAAAGGGAGTGCAGTGCTTTCTGCTCAGTGGTCCATAGTTTGAAACTTTTGGGCACATCCATCCCCCAGACTGAGTCGTGTCCCGTCACTGGGGGCGCCTCGCGCTTCTGTCTTGTTGCGTGTGTTTCTGCGGTGATCTTGAAGGTGTGGTCTGAGATCAGTATTGGTGCACACAGGCCGTTGGAGTTTGGTGGGAGCATGAAGTAGGTTTTAGGCCCGCAGGCCCAAGCGGCTCCCTGGACCCAGAAAGTTCCTTTTTTCAGGGTGAATGTTCCTCCTTTTGTACTTCCGGTGAAATCAAGTGTCTGTGTGCAGTTGTGGTTCCGGCCCAATTTTCTGTTTCCCTCTGAGAAGTTGAAACAGATTGGGTGCTGGGTGTGTGGTGGCAGGATTATGGCGAATGATTTGGTTCTTGTGTTGCTTGCGTTGATGTTGACCCAATGCTCTTCATTACATGTGTAATTCCAATTTGTCAAGTTGTAGGCACAAGGGGTGTCTTTGTTGTCCTTGGTTCCGTTGCACCATGGGATAGTGTCTGCCTTCCTTTGACTCTTCAGGAATAGTCCTAACGCATACAGGTCATTAAGTCATTGTGTAGTTCTGCTCCACACTTTAGCCATTTCTTTTGCTCTGCGATAGGTGCGGCTTTCTGTTCGTCTTTAAGTACATCAAGTGGTATTAGCTGTGAAGTTTCAGACATTAAAGTTTGTATTGGTTGCTGTGCGGCCTTCTTTGCGGCTTGGTCTGCGAAGTTATTGCCTTTAGTAATTTCTGAGTCATCTTTTTTGGTGTGCAACGCATTTGCATAGTGCTAGTTTTTTTTTGGCAAAGTTATGACTTCTAATAGTTCTTTTAGGAGGTGTCCATGTTATACTGGATTACCCGTGGAGGTGACCATTTCCCTATTTTGCCATATTTTAGCGAAATGATGCACTGCTGCAAAAACATATTGACTGTCTGTGTGTATATTTATATCTTGACCTTTGTGCAGCATGACAGCCGTTAGTTCTGCACTCTGTGCTGAAAAAGAGGAAGTTAGGGCTTTTGCTTCTAAAACTGTGTCTACTGTGGTTACTGCGCAACCTACACAGTTTCGCCCGAGACTATTTTTGAACGCTGAACCGTCTTACAAAGATGTCAACGAAACAAGCTTGTGGTGTCCATTCTATTTTATCTTTCAGTGCTAAATTTTTTCCATAAATTAAGTTTTGCAATGGTCCAGCCAACAGAGCATATTCAGGTATCCAGCATCTGCAAAAATTGCAGAGACCTAAATAACTCAACATTTGTTGTTTTGTAAGTGGTTTTGGAGCATTCTGCACTGCTAGTTTTCTGCTGTCTAACAGTGTTCTGCCTTCTCCTGCAAGCTTATGTCCGAGGTACGTGACCTCTTTGCTCCACAACTGTAACTTGTGTTGTGAGACTTTGTGACCCTGCTCTGCTAAGTGTTGCAACACAGTCATGGTGTTTTTTCTGCAGTTGTCTTGCGTGTCTCCTGTGACGAGAATATCATCAACGTATAGAAAAAAACTGACCTGTGGCAGGGAGCGTGCATAATGACATAGATTTCTTTAATGCCTCTGCATACAGGGTGGGGCTGTTCTGAAAACCCTGCGGCAGTCTGGTGTAGGTGTACTTTTCATTGTCAAAAGTGAATCCGAACAGGTTTTGTGAATCTGGGTGTAATGGCACAGAGAAAAACACGTTTGAGAGATCTATAACTGAGAACCATTGTTCTTTTGGTGTCACTTGATTTAAAATTGTGTGTGTATTTGCTACCACAGGTGGGATTTGTTCTGTTACCTCGTTTATTGCTCTAAGATCATGAACTAGACGATATTTTTCTGTGTTTGCTTTTTCACTGGGAAAATTGGAGTGTTACAGGTTGCTTTTGTTGTCTTCACTAGGATGCTGACTTAACTATCACTAATATTTTAGAGAATTTCATTTTTGGTGGTTTTTTAGTCAATACTGTTCTGCATGCTCCTGTGTCACAAAGCATCGACATTGGCTGTCCATTTACATATATGACACCAGTGGTTTTGTGTTCATAGCCTAGAAGTAATTGTTCTATGTTATACACGTCCGTGTTTTCATGTCTCACAGTTCATAGCTCACAGCTCTAAAACTAGGCATTTATAAATTATATGCCTAATCACTATGTGTCACTGTGATCCACAAATTTGTTTCCAAACCAACAAAATAAAATAATCAAACAAAACCGAAAACATACATGAGTCAGGACACAAAAAGAAAAATGCTGCTACTGAAACAGAGCAGAAGGAGGAAAACTAAGCTCACAGACAGCTGCATGTGTTGGCTTTTATGCAGCTTCTGCTCTAAAAACAAATAAATAAAAATAAAAGAAAATGTGTAACATGGTCATCAACTTAGCGGTGTCCACATATTTAATTCAGCTTCTCAATCCTGTAGGTTTAGTTATTATCTACAGGGTTTGGCTTATTAGTTGTTATTATAGATGTGCTCTGTATCTCAGTAATATTTATCTAGGATAAATGACAGGTTTTCAAGCAGGTTAAGTGCCTCTATGCACCTAATTGGTTTAGATATTGCTTTTATTTTCTTCATCTCATATGTCATTATACTGAGTTTGAGCAAACCTTAAACTTGATGCAGACTACTTCATAACAATTATCCATCTCACATCATACTGACTAGGATACTTCTTGTCATTAATATTATATTTTTATTAATATTATCATCTTTTTCTTTCTATATAATAACAATAGTATATTACAATATTTTATTAGTGTATATCACTATACTACTACTGAGCCGATTTAATAGTTAGGATCATCTTACTCAGCAAACAGATAATTTAGAATTCATCCAATCTGTACAAATTTGCTTTTTCTCTGAACAGGTTTGTGCCTACTTTTAGACTGGTCTCCTGTTTGCCTCATCTCAGATCCAACCTTCAGTCACATTCATTCTCTCTGTTGCATGTCGAACCAAGCAATTTATTATTATATATTTTATATTTTATTTTTTATCCATCAAGGGCTTCGGGTGATCTGCAGTTTCACCCTTTCCCAAGCTGGAGACATCTACCTTTCTACACACTTTCCTTGGCTTAACAATGGCACAGCCTTAATGTACATTATACATTTCTCTATTTTATTTAAAAGGTTTTCATGTGAATTATTTCCTTTTATTCATTTTATACATTCTGGGCATGGTCGTCATGCCAACTATGTTTCATTGTTAATATAAGTTTACAGGTTGTTATCCTTCCTAGTCACTTGCTGTTCCTATCATCTTCCTCCTCACTGTCATTCCTTTTCCTTTGCCTACACTCGCGGGCAAAATGCCCTTGTTTTCCACAGTCGTAGCAAGTTGTATTTTTTGTTCTACGATCGTTATTTCTTCCACCTGCCTTTCCCTTCCCTCTGTAAGGGCCTGGCTTATGTCTCCTATGTTCACCGGAAAATGCTACAAATAATAACTGTGGGCCTTTTTGCTCACTACTTTGTTCTTTGTTCTTTTTCTTTTTTTCTTCGCGTGCTGCGGTGCGCTTATCATTTTCTGCCATCCAGGCTTTAAAGTGTTGCCACTCTGTGACATGTTTGGCTTTCTTTTTAAAACTTTTTTCATAATTTATTTCTGTTTGGAGAGTTTCCTTTAAAATAGTTACTGCAGAGGGACTGCATTTTCCCTCCCACGCAGGGCAGTTTAACTTCTTTCGGTTCCTCCATCTATTTGCTCTAATTTTGACCGGCGCCGGGACAAGTTTTCTCTAACCACTGCTCGTCAGTAGTGAGTTTTGTAGATTTATTACCCATTTTTTCCTTAGTTTATAAATATA